TTGGGGGCCGCTATGGGGGTATTGGTGGTGTTATTAGGGGTTCTGGAGCCCCCCCTCCAAAAAAAAGAAGTTTTTTTTTTTTTGGGGGGGGGGTGGTGACTACCCCCGACTGGTAGGTGCTGACCAGCCGATTGGTCGGCGGGTCGGCAGCCGAGCAGTCAAGGGCCGCCAACCGTCGGGGGGTGCAACCTTGACATACGGTCATTATGGGCGTACATGGGTCATCTTTCAGTCTAAATACAGCTATAATGGCCGTACGTTGTATTCGAGGGAAGAAGTTAGGCAGCAATCTGCTTGTAGAGCAGGCTCTGTTACTAGATGTGGGCCCATAATGATTGATCAAATATAGAAGTGCAGTGCATGACACTGCATGGAAAGGCGGAAGGTTCTGCCATTACTTGTCTCCTTGGCTTGTCTGTGAAAAAATGTTTTTTTCAGGATAGCTGGTGGTCTCCTTAACCTTTCAGCCTTAGAGTTTTTACCATGAGACGGTGAGCATGAAAGTTGTCATATTCTTGTAGCACCTTGGGGTTCATTTATTTGTTCTGTTGCCGCTCTGATGATGAGGTTGGATATACTGTGTGTTTATATTCTGTAACAGGCCTGGAACAACTTGGGGAGTGTGTATGTCGACTGTGGCAAATACCCTCAAGCAGAGAACTGTTATAAAAGTGCCCTAAACATTAAGCACACCCGGGCACACCAAGGCTTGGCAAGGGTCCATGCTCTAAAGGGAAATAGAGAAGCTGCATATAAGGAGATGACGAAGTTGATCGAGAAGGCGGTTAATAGAGCATCTGCTTATGAAAAGCGATCAGAGTATTGTGAGCCAGAGCTGAGCATGGCAGACTTGAGCCGAGTAACTCTGCTTGACCCTCTTCGGACCTACCCCTACAGATATCGAGCTGCAGGTACATAGCTTTAGAGATAGGGTCCCCATTCTTGCATGACTGACAAATTTTCTGATATTCTTACCAATATGTGTGTGGAACGCATTGCTTCATGACAAGTGCTGGAAAGAGCTGAAGGAAAATACATATACAGAGTGTTAGGAAGTTGGAATGGAATATACGAGGCTGAAGTGGGAACTTTCTCAGGGGCCAAATGAGAAGTGATGGAAAGCTAGGTCACCAGAGTGGCCCAGGAGCACTTGTGCAACCAGGCCAAAAAAAATAAAAACAAAAAAAACAATTAATAAATTATACTAAGTTCATTTTTTATTTTTTATTTGGTAAGAAAAAGCTGTTCATTTTATTTTTGACATTTTTTGTACACAACGTTTTTTTTTCTTTTTGCGAGGAACAAGCCCTCACGGGGGCCTTATCAGACAAACACATGTTCTGGGCAGAGGCCCCCAGCAAGCCGAGTGCCCGCCCGAAGTGAAGGCAGGCCTGAATATTCATTAGAGTCCAAAACTCGAGATTTTCATATACGGGCTGTTGCAGCCCGCCAGTTGGTTGAGTGGACGCACGAGCCTCCCGAATCTGTGTCGTACAGTTGGCCCAGGCCTTGGCAGTTGCACCTGGGCGCATACACACAAAGCAGGGCCGATACATCATGAAGTGGCCACAGGCCTATGCAAAAGCAGTACTGTCGACGTCCCTTCCCCGGGGGTCCTGTGCAAATCAGCAAATCGCCCAAGTCTGGAGACTCAGGCCATGCCCAACTGTAAACGGCCCAGGCCCTCAACTGTAGTCTTGGGTCGGGGCGCAGGCACTGGGGCCCATTAGGAAGCTACTGGAAGCTTCCAGCCAGGCCACACGCAGCAATGCAGGGGCTGCCACCTACAAAGAGGAAGGTGGGCAGCCAGGGTTTAGCATTCTGGCCCACACAGGCAATGCGGTGACGCTGCTGCGCTGCTGCGTTAGAGCCTGCGTGCTGCACTGGGGCCAGAGCGCGTGCGGGCGCATGTGTGGTGCGCTGCTGAGCAGCGGAGTGCAAGCATCCATAGTCAGGCTGCAGGGCGCTAGGGGGTAAGAGGGCGATCGGTGGTCTTCTGGAAGGAGGCGAGAGTGGGTGGACAGTGTCTGGTGAGAGGAGATGAGATACGTACCTGGTACATGGAAGAGGTCGGCTATGCTATTGACGTCATGTGCACTGGTCTTCGAGAGTCGAAGTGACCCTGTTGCGAGAATGCTAATGTAGGCAGGATAGTCAAGTAGTGGGGGCTGGGCGCTGGGCGCCAGATAGAGAGGAGCGACTTTGGATACTGTGTTGGTGTGGCCTGAGGGCTTGAACATTGGCCATTGGCTCGTTACCTCATTGTATTGCTTGGATGAGATCTTGGTGCATTTGTGCTCTATTCTTGTACACGGCTACTTGGACATCTGTGTGATTTCGCAACTTGGTTTTTTTGTATATCGTTCCCACTCATATTCCTTGCAATTTGGTATCGGAGCTGGTTCGTGATCGGCGCTTACCTGGCGCTGGCGACATCGTTACTTGGTGCGCTGACGATGCTTCATGCGCAGTAAGGATACTTTGGCGCTGGCTTGATAGAGCGGGGACCAGGTAGAGGGGCCGGCTACTGGAAGGGTGTGGCGGCAGCGTGGGAGCTGTGGCAACAGCGGATGTATGCGCGATGATGAGAGCATGCTGATATGGCATTTTGGCTGAGGTGGCACTGCATTGCGTTGTGGGTGGTACTGAGGCTATGAATGCACTTCGGCTCAATTGGTGAGAAATCTGTGGTTGGGGGCAGCTATCTCCAGGTACGTTGTTCCCATTCCTTATCTACCCTCTCAATCTCTTCTTACCGCGAGGAAGTGAGTCCAATCTTGAGTGTCCTCTTGTGTGAGGAGTCGTGAGCGCTCTACCTTGAGAGACGACATTCTTCCTGGTGGCGCATTTGGCAGGAGAGGGTGGTGCCTCTGAAGGGCCCTAGTCGAAGCACGGGTCACGGTCACCATGCCAACCCATGCGAGTAGTTCACGCAGGCCATGCTGTTTTGTCCTTTAAAGGCTCTTTGCTGCACTGATAGAAGGGGTGCGCGGACTGACCAGTCCTAAGCAGCCGCAAACCAGACCGTCTATAAATATTTCTGGCAGGGTGTCTGATCTGTTCTCTGGCTGTGATCGTTGTCCTCGTTGTGACCTAAAATAATTCCTGAGGATCGTGGGGGCTGTCCTTAAACTGCCTCTTGATCAGCCAGATCAGTTAGACGAAAGGCTCGTTGCACGCGAGGGAAAAGAACGGGCAGGCGGGTCAAAAGCATACACCTTGGGGACAGGGGTCGACCACTTGTGGACACCTTAGACACTGCCTCTTGATGATGCCTACTGGCACGTTGGATACAGGGGAGGGTGATTCCAATTGAGACTCGACAGTCTGACACAACAATACCATTGTGCATACATTTGCTTACATAGTTATTTTAATTTTGATTAGTTGGTTGACAGACTGCTAACACTTCATTGACAGCCTAGACTTGAACCGTAGTGTCCTACCATAGTGTTCTCTTCGAAGCTGCTGTAAGAGAACTAATCAAGGTAAACTTAGATTATGTGTACAACCCGCGTGAATGCTGTTGATACCGCTTGACCAGTAGTCTAGGTAACTCGGTATTTTAATATATTTTTAGAACTGGTTAGACGCATGCTGCGGTAGGTCCCAGAAAGGACACTAGTGCAGACAGCGTCTGCCTAGCTCATGAGCGGATCAGAGGGTGGTGAAGGTTCAGCTGACGATCTAAGGCAAACTAGGCGTGACACGCTTAGAATATCCGTAGTGTTCCAAGTCCTACTACCAGGAGAGGTGAGAAGGCTAAGGGCCGAAGCAAGGTCCCGTAATCTTGAGATTGTCAGGGAAGCAAAAGTAGCTGTAAAGAGAACGTTAGCGGCAGCAGAAGCTAGCGCAGAAGCAATGACTACCTCTGCAACAACGACTACAGCGACCTCGTTTGGACAGTTAGGGATGTCGCTTGGCTGGTCCAACTCGCAGTCCACTTCCGGTATGTCAGGATCTGGCACTAGTCAGTTTGCAAGCTTGCAGTCCAGCTCGCCGCCGTCAAGCACCCGGGAGCAGATGGAGCTCCAGCAGGTTGAGAGGATCCGCTTAAGGCTAGAGGAGGAGCTTAAGAAGGCTACCGACAAATAAAATGAGATTAGGAGTATCAGACTAGAGAGTAGAGAGGCGGACAAAGCTACGTTAGAGGGGCTAGATGACTTGGACCTAGACAATAACATGAAGGTTGTTAAGACGAGCATCCTGTCCATGCACGCATACATGGACAGAAAACTGGACGCTATCCAGGACACCCTGGACCAGATCCCGAATGCCCTGCAAAGGACAGGGGTCAGGCCAGCAGTTTTGCCATCGCCGCCGTTCTCGACGATGACAGGCCCATACCCATCGCAGTCTGGTACCACACCAAGCGGTACCAGCAGCAGCAGCACAGACTGCTGCTTCATCTTATAGTCTAGCTGCTGGAGCTACACCACAGCGGTCACCCGTCCCACCAGTGGGACAACAACAACCTTGGTATCCTAACACCCCATTGATCCCTCAACCTTCTTAGGCGATAAGAAGGATGAGGCTCTTGACACTTGGTTGAGAACGGTGCCAGTGTATGTGAGGGCGAAGAGGACGTTGGTGGAGGAGGAAGTGATAATTGCTGCATCGTATTTAGAAGGATCAGCAACACGTTGGTTAAATGGATTGGTAGCCTCAAAGGGATTCGGCAGGAACATGGGTGACTAGGCTAAGACCCATACCCTGGAGAGCTTTATGGATCTGGTGGAAGCCCGATGGCACAGCCCACAGCTGATGGGTTGTTGACGCTTGATACTAAAAAGTACAAGTCTGTCCGCGAGCTCACCTCAGCTGTAGAGCGATTGATTGTCGTCCCTGGGGTTGAATACAATCCACAGGTCTTGTTGACCATGTTCCTTAGATGTCTTCCCACAGACATCAAGAACCTGTTAGCCAGCGAGGGTCGGCTAGAGTATCACACCTTTGGCAAGAAGGCCTTAGATTTGGAGGCTACGCTAGGAGGTGCTCAGGCCCTCTCTTCAGATGGAAGAAAGAAGAAGAGTCCACAAGAGTGGAAGAAGACAGGTAGTCGATTGATGATGGTCGAGGGTGATGGTACTCAGACCGAGATCGAGGATTTCTCATATCTTGTGGATGGTACAAAGATAGACGACGAGGATGATGCTGAGGGTAGCAGCCTCGCTGCCGTAGTTTAGGGTAGGGTAGCTGTCTGCGGCAAGGGCGGACAACAAAGGAGTCAGGGGCAAACCCCAAACCCGCACAAGATAGCGGCATGGGTTCGAGCAGGTTTGGATCAAGATGTGTGGCGGGATCGCTACCAGCGGGGTGCTTGCATTAACTGTGGCGAGGGCCATCAACAGTTTAAGTGCAAGAACGCTAAGGTCTCGTAGAAGATCCCACCTAAAGGTGGGATTCCTTCTTCCCAGAGTGGGGCCTCGTCGAGTTCCGGCTCGGGAAACACCCAGGGCCAGTAGAAGTTGCTTCTACTCTTGTTGAAGCGGGTGATGTACCCTCCCCGGTTCAAGAGTTGGCCAAGGCTATTGACGCCTTAGTCACGCCGCAGACACATCCTGACCCAACGATACTCTGCTCGTTGGATGTGTGTGAAGCCTTAGAGGACCTACAAAGTGAGTGGCCGGTAAAGGATCCTCGTGAGTCCTGGGTGGCACTAAGTAGAGGTCCTAGAGGGGAACATTTCGTTGTGGAAGGGGACCACAAATGCGGGGTCTTTGTAGACATTGGCTCCACACGAAACTTTATAAGTCGCTACTGCATTGAGAGACTGCACCTAAAGAACGGGGTGTCGCGCCTGAGTAGACCGGTGGCATATACTCTAGGCAACAAAGAGCACATCGACGACCTATTGGATAGGGTGCAGGGATGTAAGTACTTCACAAAGAAGACTTGAAATCCGGCTACCATCAGATTGCCATTAGACCGGAAGATCAGCACAAAACCGCATTTCAGACGAGGTACGGTCTGTACAAGTTTGTGGTGATGCCCTCCGGCCTTTGCAATGCGCTGGGTACATTCCAGCATGCAATGTGCCAAGGATATTCCATGACTACTTGGATAAGTTTATCGTTGTGTACCTCGACGACATTCCTATCTTTAGTAGGACTGTCGAGGAGCATGCCCAACATGTAGACAAAGTCCTTTCTCTCCTCCGTTAGCACAAGTATAAGATCAATTTAGAGCAATGCGAATTTGGTCGCACTAAAATCTTGTACTTGGGTCGTGAAGTATCCGCGGAAGGGATTAGGCTTGAAGATGCGAAGGTGGGTAGCATTAGAGATTGGCCACGGCCCCAGTCTGTGACTGTGGTCATATCTTTCTTGGGGATGTGTGGTTATTACTGCAGTTTTGTACAAAACTACAGTACGATTGCATCTCCCTTGACTGATCTAACGCGCCTTGGCAAACCATGGGAAGGGACAAACACATGTGAGGCTGCTTTCAAGAGATTGAAGCATGCCCTCACACATCATGAGGTTCTCATGGTTCCCGATCCTCAAAGGCCATTCGTAGTGACCACTGACACAAGCCAGTACGGCATAGGTGCAGTCGTGGCTCAACAGGAAGGGAAAACGTTAAGGCCGATCGAGTACATGAGCAAGAAAATGCCATCTAGGAAATTGGCGAAGTCCACCTATAAAAGGGAACTCGAAGCCCTCTACAAGGCACTTGTCCACTGGAGGCACTATCTGTTGGGACGATTCTTCTATTTGAGGACCGACCATGAGGTACTCAAGTGGATCAAGACACAACCTGTTCTCTCTGACGCACTCAAACGTTGGATTGAAGTCATAGACCAGTATGACTTCAAGCTAGACTGGCTGATGTATTGTCACGTAGGGTAGACTGCCTGGGTGCGCTGATTACTGAGTTTGGCTTATCTGACAATGTCACTCGATCCTTGGTGGAGGCCTCCAAGGAAGACCATGTCACGATGGACATCATTCGCAAGCTCGAGGCCCAGGACAAGACCACATCTGATGAGTTTGTGATGGTGGATGGGTTGCTCTTTCTTGAGAAGGCAGGATTTAAAAGGTTAGTGGTTCCATCTAGGGAGATTTTGCATAGTTTATTTTTAGGTGAGTGCCATGACTCGACAGGTCATTTCGGCTACAAGAAGACTTCTGCTAACTTAGTACAACGATTTTGGTGACCTAACATGCTTGACGATAGAAAGTCATACGTGCAGACTTGCCAAGTCTGTCAGCGCGACAAGCCGCAGACTCAAACCCCGCTTGCATTATTGAAGCCCCTACCCATTCCTACTGGTCCGGGACAGACTGTTTCCTGGACCTCATGGATACCCTTGTGACCAGCAAGAATGGCAAAGGGCATAGTGGATTGGTTTACTAAGTACGCTAGACTAATCGCCATGCCAGAGACTGCCAAGACTGAGTACGTCATCAAATTGCTCATGGACAATTGGGTGCGTGACTTTGGACTGCCAAAGACCATTGTTAGTGATAGAGATGTCCGGTTTACTAGTGAGATGTGGAAGAAGGCCGCTAAGCAGATGGGCAGCCAGCTCCAGACGATTTTTGGGAATCATCCCGAAGCAAATGGGCAGGTTGAACAGATGAACCGTGTATTGCAACATCTGCTGAGGCACTACATCAAGCCCAGCCAGGATGACTGGGATGAGAAACTACCTCTCATCACCAGCCTGTACAACAATGTTGTACACAGCACCACCGGTGTCGGTCCTAATCAGATGCATCTGGGATGGAAGCCTAGATCTGCTCTAGACTTCCTCCTGCCTGAAAACCGAACTGCTGCAACTACTGGAACCATTGAATTTGGTGTCCAGTATGAGAAATTGTTGCAGCAGACTGTCAAACACATCAAGAAATCTCAGGTAGGGGAACGTGTTTGGGTTAAGGCTAGTGAGTTAGGACAGGAATTCGACATTTCCAGAAAACTAATGCCTCAGTATTTCGGTCCTTGGGAAGTCTTAGAAATTGTGGGTAATAGTTTGGATGGTCCCTCGTACGTGGTTCGTATCCCTGGTCACCCCCGCACTTACCCTGTGTTTCATGCCTCTGAAATGGTTTTCACCTTTTGCAGCAGCAGACGCAGATCGCAGGGCTCGATCCCTAGTCCCCACCTTACCTATGTACCGTACATGTGTCAACCCGTAGAGTTTGAACCCACGACCTGTGTATTTGTAACAGTTGATAGGCTGTCGTAGGGTCCATAGGTAGCCAGGGTTCAATCTGTAGGTCTGTCGAATAGAAGTCTTAGTGAGTTCCATAAGTCTTAGCTGTAGTCCTTCTAGAAGGTCGAGCAAGTGGGCAAGTGGTGGACCAACTGCAGTACGATCGCAGTACGGTAAGTACCATGAGGGACTGTGTGCACCATGGGCCGATGGAAAGGGGCAGACCAACGAGCTCCAGAAGTATAAATCAGGAGGCAGCGCCCAGCCATTCATGCATTTCTGCGTGAGCCATGCGGAAGCGCTGCCACAGCGACTTGTGCAAGGAGGTCTGCAGTGAGCCCGGAGCTGAAGTGGGCGAGAGACAAGGAGCGTAGCATAGCGATAGGGTAGAGGCGGACACAGCCGCCATAACTGTAGTTGAGGATTAGTGTGTGTGTGTGTGTGAGTGTTCAGAGAGTCGCATGTGGGATATCCAGGGTGATCCGGTGTATGCGAATAACGAGTTGTTTTGGCGTTGAGTCGCCATAGCCATTGAAAGTGAACTCGTATCTGGGTTGCCATATCTCTGAGTGTTGAGTGGGCGCATGTCGCCAGTTTGCTGCGCTACTGTTTGCATGCATGAAAAGTGTGAATGAAAGCGAGTCTGATTGCATTGGTATTGGAGCAGGTACCCACAATTCCATGCGCGCAGTTGTGTGCAGGGAGTGATGCGCCATAGCTGAGGTGGCCGCCACGAGATGAAGTCCTCCATAGCGGACCTGGAGGTTGGAGAAGCCGCCTCGCACTTGCAAAAGAGACCACGACGAAGAACAAGGCAGAGAGAGAGAGAGAGAGAGAGACAGAGAGAGAGACAGACAGAGGGTTACTACGTAACGGCGAGAGAGGGGGAGAGAGAGAGAGATGAGCGATACAAGTTTGGTTGTTACGTACCTATGAAGTGCAGTCCCGTGAAGAAGAAGAAGAAGGCCATAGCCGCGGAGCTCCACCACGGGGTAACGAAGGAGGGAAGACGGACAGAGGGGAGGAGACCGAGCAGAGTGAGGGAAGCCATAGCAGAGGGAGGTGAAGGGAGAGACGATCAAAAAAAAAAAAAAAAAAAAAGAGACGAAGAAGAAGGGAGACAGCCGGGGTGAAAGGAGGCGAGGAAGGTGGAAGGAAGAGGAAGGTCGGTGAGGAAAAGGGAAGCCGGCCGCCATAGCCGGAAGTTGACCGGAGGCGTTGACCAGGGTTGACAACAGCGTTGACCGAGCGTTGACCGAGCGTTGACACAGGCGTTGACCAAGACTTTGACCAAGCTGGAGCCGGTATATTCTCGCCAAGCCTTCAACCTATCCCCTCACCCTATGGATGTGCACATACCCCATGGTACTTGCTGAGTCCAGTCTGTCTGTCTCTTCTTTCTGCATCGAGTCTCTTCTGTCTAGGTGATAGTACTTTGTGGATGAAGGATAGGCCTTGTTGACCAAACCCCTGCCGGACCAAGTAGGGCTAAAGACTGTGTCTGACGACTCGACTGTCCCGGAGGCTTAACCCTCCCAAGGACCGGTACAGACCGGCGGGCTTCTCGGTGTGGCACGGTAGGCCCGAAAGGTAGAGTTGTGGGCTGCGCAACAGGCAGTCTAAGTATTGAGAGACCTGCTGATCGCGTTGTCCTGTCTGCGACGTTAAATAATTCCTGAGGAGTTACGGGGGATCTCCTTAAATGCCTCCTGATCAGCAACATGTCTAGTAATGACAACCATAGTGTAGGTCTAGGCTAGAGACCCTAGTTGGCAGGATCCCTGTCCGGATTCTGTGAGTCTTTAGATTGAGTCTGGCAATTTGTCAGTCAGGGGTTAGAGTCTACGTGGTGAGGTTTGGAACCGTCAATTCGGTTGTGCACTTATCACCATGGTTGAGACCCGTAGTGGGACGTGCACTAGCCCCTACACTCAGGAGTAACAAGAGAAGATGCCGCCTTAGTGAGAGAGAACAGGGAGAGGAAAGAGCTTCTAAAGCAAGCGAAATTAAAAGCAATCGCAGAGGAGCAGGTGGCGAAGATGAAGAAGTTGGAAGAAGAGATGGAGGAGAAGAAAAAGGCTGCCGAGGAAGAAGCAGCAGCAGAAGCAGAGGAGGAGAGAAAACGCAGAGAAGAAAAAGGGGAGAGTAGTAGCACGAAGGAGGAGGAAGCGAAATTAGAGAAGAAGATTAGTGAGTGGATTGCTAATTGATCGTTGGGGGAAGACGAGGAGGCACAGTTCTATGTGCCACAGGATGAGAGGGATGCGTTAGCCAGTGCGCTAGCAATAATCGAGGACCCCCTGGAACGGCAAGAAGCAGAGGAGGAGAAGAAGTTGGAGTGGAAACTGAGGATGAAGAGGGAAAAGAAGAGGAGGGAGGAAGTTAATAGGTTGACCGCGGAGGTGGCAAAGGTGAGAGACTGCAGACAAGAGGTGCAGGCGCAGCCAGACATTTCTGCCAAAATGGATAAGATGTTGGGGTACTTGGAAGGGTTGAGTGAGGCCTGGATGGAGGAGCGCCAAGCCAATTGGGGTCACGATGTGGCCCTGAGTGCCATGCGGTCAGGATTCCGGGATTTTGTGCGCGATATAGTCACCCACGTTGGGGGCGAAGTTAGGCGGTTAAGAGAGAACGGGGGAAAGTTTTGCGAGGGCGCCATCCAGGGTGCCAAAGCAGTTGCCGCTATTGAGAGTGAGGCCAGGCCCCGTAAAGAGCCCGTCAAGCTTAAGTTTCCAGACGCATATGGCGGGAAGAAGGAGAATTTTGATAACTGGGAGGCGAGCCTAAATAGTTACGTATACTTACAGCACATCCTGACTGAGGAACAATCCTCGTCGCCTTCTAGGCCCTCAAAGATGAAGCGGCCAGTTTTGCCAGATCTCTTGCGCGCGCAGCCGGTTGTGAAAACAGCCTGGTTGCATATTCTAAGATCACCCCCCTTCCTCAATTCCTAACTCCTGAGGGAGAGATTTGCTGACCCAACGAGAGGCGTTAGAGCCTCCGACAAGCTACATACCATCCACTCACGATAGTGGAGGAGTGCAAGAGCACTCAAGGGTGTCATGGACGACTCGGTAGCCGTCCCAGACCACGGGGTCACTGAGCCCCGGTTGGTCCAATTGTTTTATCGTGCCATGCTAGAGCCCCTGTGTGGGCATTTCTTTGACAAATCTCAACAGGCCGACATCACGTATGATGTACTGAGTAGAGAAGTGGTCCTGTTCGAGTCGAAGTCCATGCCAGTGTCCACTTTCTGGCCAAGTCGAAGGACTTGGACAAGGGGAAGAAGTGGAAAGGTCGTACCATCTTTGGCCAAGTATATGATCCTTACTTAGGAGGGAGGTTGTACAAACGAGGTTCCGTATAGTCAGATCGAGTGGGGCCTCGAGGATGAGGACAGTAGCGTGGGGCAGGGGAGGTCCTATGTTGCTGTCGCGGCTGGAGGGAGGCCGCAAGGTCGAGGAGAAGGCCACGGCCAAAGGGGCCAGGCCACGAGAGGGCGAGGACCGGGCGCACAGGGGGTTGGCGGACAAGGGAACCGCCAAGTGGGAGGTAGGGGTCAAGGTCCCCCGCGAAATCATCAGGGTTTTTGTCGGTCCCCGCAAGGACGAGGTGGAAGGCCACCTCAAGGAGGATGGCACCCAGGCTTGCCGCAGGGCAGGCCCTGGGAGGATTTGGGCTTGGACCAGCGCGTATGGCAGGAACACGTGGACTTGTGGTGACCCGACCCATGTAATTAAATTTTGTCCTAAAGTATAGACAGGCCCGATGGGCTGCTCAACAGTCAAAAGGCAGCCGCCAATAGGGGTCGCAACTGCCCCTACTTCAAGGCCATGTGGGGAAGCGAGCGCGCGCGATCAGGTAACTCCCACACCACATGAGCCTATGGCAGAGGTTGCAGGTCAGTGCCTAGCTAGCTGTCCAGAGACTGCTTGTGTTAGCGTCTCTCTAGGCACTTCCCTCACAGGCGTGGCAGAAGAGTTGAAGGAGAGGATGCCATCTTGGGCCAAAATGAAGAAGGAGAGTTGAAGTTTTTGGAAGTAGAGTAGGGGCCCTTATAGATTCAGGGGCTACCCGTAGTTATATTAGCTGTAGAGCGCCGAAAAAGTTGAGGCTAGGATTGGAAGTCCAAAAGTTGGCAGATCCCATAGTTAGTGTGCTCGTAGACAACCGCACGATGCGTGTTGAGGACTACGTAGAGGGAGTCCAGGCGTACTTTTGCCTAGAGAAAGATATGAAGGTGGAGAAAGTTCTCCATTCCCTGACTCTCCTCGTGCAAGACGATCTTCCTTTTGACATGGTGTTAGGAATGGATTGGGGAGAGGCAGTAGGGGCCACACTCCACTTGAGAGAGCATGAGTGTAGGCTCCTTGGTCCGTCAGGCGAGGTTAAGACTGCCTGCCTGTTTCATGTGTCAGGTGTCGATAACACCTTGGCACATTGCTGTCTCAGTGCTCCCACGTTCGCGCGACTAGTGAGAAAGGAGCAGTTGGAGGATCAGGTCTTCGTGGTGTATGTCAGACCTGTCACTGAGCCTACGGAAGAAGTTAGTTCCACAGATCCAACCATTGCCAAGCTGCTGGAAGAGTTTAAAGACCTAACTGAGCCGCCTACAGGAGTAGTGTCGCGGCCGATCCAGCATAGGATAGAGATAGAACCTGGCAGTCGAACTCCTAAGGGCGTAGTCTACAGGATGTCCCCTAGAGAGTTAGAGGAGCTGCGTAAGCAGTTGGATGAGCTCCTTGAGAAGGGTTGGATTAGGCCCAGTTCGTCTTCTTTTGGAGCACCGGTTTTGTTCGTCCCCAAGACGGAAGGAGAGTTGCGCATTTGTATAGACTATAGGGGTCTGAATGCGATTACTGTGAAGAATGCCGAGCCACTGCTCAGGATAGACGATCTCCTAGATCGAGTGCAGGGTTGTAAGTATTTCTCAAAGATAGACTTGAAGTCTGGGTATCATCATATAGAAGTCGATCCTGATGACCAGTACAAGACTGCGTTCCGGACTCGTTATGGGCATTATGAGTTTATAGTGATGCCCTTTGGATTGTCCAACGCGCCAGCTACGTTTCAGCGTTGTATGAATGATCTGTTTAGACCATGGTTAGATAAGTTCTAGTAGTCTATTCATATGATATATTAGTATTCAGCAGGACCATCCAAGAACATCAGGGTTATTTGAGGCAGGTGTTGGAGAAGCTAAGAGAGGCTAACTTCAAGATCAACCCGAAGAAGTGCGAGTGGGCCAAGACACAAGTTTTGTACTTGGGCCGCGTGTTAGACGGAGATGGCATTAAGCCAGAGGACAGCAAGATAGCGCCAATTAGAGACTGGCCGACGCCCCTCACGTTGACTGAATTGCGGTCGTTTTTAGGCCTAGCTAATTACTATAGGAAGTTCGTGAAGAACTTCTCCACTATCGCCTCACCGCTCCCTTGCGCAGGTTGTTAAAGAAAGAGGCAATCTGGCAGTGAGACAAAAACTGTACATCTGCGCTAAAGAAGTTAAAGTGCGCGTTGATAGAATATCCTGTCCTCAAAGTAGCCGATCCGTCTTTGCCATTTGTTGTCACCACGGACGCGAGTCAGTATGGTATAGGCGTTGTGTTGCAGCAAGACGACGGCAATGGCTATAGACCCGTAGAGTTCATGTCAGCGAGGATGCCTTCATAGAAAATAGCCACCTCGACGTATGAGAGAGAACTCTAAGCTCTCAGGCAGGCCTTAGAGCACTAGAAGCACTACCTGCTTGGGAGGCACTTCAAAGTGTATTCAGACCATGAGACGCTTAGATGGTTAAAGGTACTTCAAAGTGTATTCAGACCATGAGACGCCAAAATGACACCTAGGTGGGCTGCTGAAATAGACCAATACGACTTTGAGCTCAAATCGGTCAAAGGCAAGTACAATGTAGTTGCAGATGCTCTGAGTAGGAGATCAGACTACTTTGGAGCTAAAGTGCACTATTTGGACATAGGAAAGGACCTGCAAGAGAAAGTTAGACAGGCGTATGCACAGGATCCTATCTATAGCGACCTCCTCAAGAGAGTTAAAAAGGCCGCAGAGACTGAACCACACTACCACACTACACAAGGATTGTTGTTTGAGAAAACTGATGTAGTAGACCGCCTGTGCATCCCCAACAGTGAGGAGATTCGTAGTGCCATGATACAGAGGGACACTTCGGTCGGCAGAAGACTTTAGCCAATCTGATGCATGCGTATACCTGGCTAGAGATGAAAGCGGAGTGCATAAAGTATGTTCGCAATTGCAAAGTTTGCCAGAGGAACAAGACCACTATGCGTGCCCCTCTAGGTCTTCTCAGACCCTTGCCTATTCTAGACCGACGTGGAGATTCAGTCTCCATTGACTTTATGGACGTCGGTGTCAAGAGTAGACACGGCAAGAGCCAAGTCATGGTCTTAGTTGATAGATTCAGTAAATACGCAATTTTTGTTCCTTTGCCGGCAGAGGCACGCACAAAGTTAGTCATTCATAAGTTTTTTTATCATTGGGTTAGTGATCACGGAGTTCCATTGTCTTTAGTTAGTGATAGAGACACCCGCTTCACCAGCCAGAACTGGCAGGAACTGATGAGAGTCTACACCCCGAAACTAGCGGTCAGACAGAGCAAATGAACAAGATCTTGTAGCAAGTTTTGCGCATGTACATTAGACCGGATGAAGTCAATTGGGATGAGATGCTGCCCAAGGTAGCGAACGCATACAATAACAGCGTGCATTTGTCTACCTGTCGCACTCCCAACGAGTTAAACAAGTCCTTTAGACCCCGTAGACCGTTTGAAGGACTTACCCGGGATCAGATTCACAGGCTACCGCCCGGTGTCGAGCGCATCGGTCCGGCATCGCGCAAGGGCAGCGCGGGACGCTCCCGGCCGCGTCACGCAGTAGTTGGTTTTAATCCTTCGTCGCGAAAATACATGGAGCTTCCGCAAGCCGCTCCAGCCGAGTGCGCCAGCCATACCTCCCGCGAGCCCCTACGACAGGATAGGGCCTACGCGAGGCACGACTTACCTCCACCTTACGAGAGTTGTCACCTCCCTTCGGTGGGCGTATCCCCGTCGAGCTACCAGTCCACAGTACGAAAGCTAATCATTTGCAATCGCAGAGGTGGACCAGTCGAGGGCGTTTCTCGTTCGCTGTAGCATAGGGGGTACGCGCGGTAATATGTCTCTATCGGACCCGCACGCGAACCGACATCTCGGGGGGCTGAGGTCCCAAGCGCGACTCGTCGTCGGTCGACTAGGACGCATCCCACACACCACGCCCACGCCACTCTACGAACACAAAAATAAAACACACACACACACCAAACAACGTGACAACACTCCTAGTCCCTTCAGTAGCCATCCCATAACTCCCCGATGTGGAAATTGGACAGGCGCCGCGCGCGGGACTTAGTATAAAACCGCGCGGACACAGAGCTAGCTCAATCGACTCGCAATGCAAGCGTACGCAAGCAGTTGCAATGATGGCGTCCTATGTAGTACCCATGCTCATGCGGTCCTCGTTAATCTCGAGGGTCGCATTCGACACTCAAGTGTCGGCTGACACGCGCCTTGAGGGCTAATCTCTCGACGCTGGACAACCGCCATGCGCGGTTGAAGACCACACACCCTCTTTTGTACCCTGTGCAAAGTGGGTGGTACACAGGTCCATACCTGTGGTGGCAGTCGTTTCTTACTACCTTGGAGATGAGCCCTACTCCAGGCCTGGACAGAAGTCAAGGGGTTTGACTTTGACAGATGTCACGAACTACAACGTCCAACCATAGAAATCTAAAAAGCAAAGAATAACAGAGGGTCTTCCTTCTCTCTCAACCCATGATCTGGCTAACCCTTGCGCACGATCACAGTAAGCCGCGCGCATACCCAAGGCACATGTAAATATTTACATAAGGTATATTTATATAGGACGATCACTTCTCACAGTCACCGTGGGACTCCTCTCAGCCATATATGTATGTAAAAGCAGGCAGTCACATCCAGAGTCCGAACCACAAACATACATGCAATCACATTAAAGATTCATCAAAAGTCCACGCACTACATGGGGTCAACTTCAACCATTCTCTATGCTCATACCCCTTGCTTTAGCCATACAAACCTCGCTCATGTGCAACTCCCCAAAATAATACTCGGTACTTTTGTTAAATGGTCATTCAATAAAGTTCGGGTGAAAGCACAATGAAACAATTCAAACCACAAGGCTAAAGCCTTCAGGTTGAGTGGCAAGAGTGGATTGGAGTTGAATCACAAACCGACGAATCGGCAACCGACCTGTTATCAGTGATAACAGAAGATGATCCTTGTAGGATCAAGCTGAAACTAGTCCAAATCCTGAATCAATCGATCGAGAAGACCTGTAACACAAGGCAGGCCAATCCCCAGGCTAAAATCATAAGTGTATGGAGAATACAACTCCACAACACATTCTCACCCAAAATTCTTCTAATCGACTAAGCCTGAATCTACCTTTAAGCAGTGCCCAAAGCAAAGGTAGACCCTGGCACAATCTCCCCTATACAGAGCAGATCGTCAGAATCGCCACCTGCTAAAATATAATCTATCTCCTTTAAACTAAGAAAATTTCGGCAGCGCTTCCTGTAGGAAAAGTGCCTTTTCAGAATTTATATCAGCCTGAATATGAAAACGGAAGTAGTTTTTGACTTTCCAAAGTTTAATTTTGTCTAACTCCCTGAATTAGCAAAAAATTGGGCAGCATTCCCTTTAGAAAAAAAGACTTTCCATATTTTTAGTAAGCCATATACGAACTTTAAACAAGTTGAACTCTGAAAAGTCAAAACTTGGCTAACTTCTTGGATTTGCAGAAATTTCGGCAGCGCTTCCCGTAGAGAAAGCAACTTGCCAAATTTTATACAAAGCCAAGTATAATAAAAGATCCCAGAAAATGCAGAAATTGACCGAACTCCTATCGCTCTAGCACGTGGCGAGCAACTAAAGCAACTACCTGTCAAGTTGAAACTCAGACCAAGTAGTAGCCTCACTCAATCTCATGCAGGCCAAACCACAAGTACTCTCGCCATCCCAAGGTCAATTTAACAGACAATAGTTCATAGTCTTTCAATGATTTACCCCTTTATACCCTGCTTACATAAGGCGTAAATTCAGGCCATCCAATCTTATGGAACATGCCTGACTCAGCCATCAAGTATATACGAACAAGTTGCACAGCTACTTTTCTCTTCCTTTGGGCACATGACTAAGCCATTCATCTTAGAAACAATCCTTAGTCGCCCTGAACTGTTTAATATCCATGATATATATATATATATATATATATATATGTCGGTGAAACTCCGACGAAACAGTTTGTCACAGCCCCTCGTTTGTTGTCCTCTTCTCTCTCTCTGTCGACGGTTTACCGGGCAGTTCTGTTTGTGACGATATATATATATATATATATATATATATATATATATATATGAACTTAGCGTTCAAAAGCTGAGCGTAGGACTGAGCCATTCATCTTAGAAACAAAGCTCAACCTCCTCAAAGTTACCTTCAATTATATTCTTAGTTATACTCTCTTCAACTTTATGATAAGCTATAGTCAGGCCACCCAATCTTATGGGACCCTGTCTGACCAGCCTTTTCTTAAGTAGAATAATAATAAAATATAGCCAAATTATAACCTTTTGGGTTCCAGCATGTACGAGGCATTGGACCAGACCATCCAATCTTATGGAACGTGTCTGGTCCTCCGCCAGGTTCATTTCTCTCTGATCCTTCTGTGTACGGCATCAGTCCAAAGCCATCCAATGTTATGGAACATGCTCTGTGCTTAGCAGAAATTACTCCGCCAGGTACAACCGAAAAGAGTCGAGCCATTCATCTTAGAAACAAAGCTCAACTCATTTTTTCTCAGCATAAAAAAAGGCAGAGCACTCTGAGTTAAACCCAGAGGTTGTTCAAAAACCACCCAGAAATAAACAGCGGTCATACCATTCATCTTAGAAACAAAGTCTGGTCCTCAAATGTGCACAATCAAAACCTCACAAAACAAATAGCCAGGCCATTCATCTTAGAAACAAAGCCTGGCGAAATTAAATAAACACAATGGCCAAACCATTCATCTTAGAAACAAAGCTCGACCTTTTCAAAAAACAGAATA